TATGCTTTCTTACTGAAGCCATAAACATAAGAAAAATAAATGACCAAGAAGCAGCAAAACTTGCAGTCCACAACAAGTTTTATTTTAAATTAACACCACGAATCAAACGTCTGTTTGTATAAATGACTTCCTGAAACTGCAACATAATGAGTTGGGTTGAAAACAACCCATATTCTGTCATTAGATGGCAGCGTTGTGCAAAAACAGTTTATGTTGTTACTGGGAATATATATATTTTAGTGAAGTGAGCCAATTTTGCAGTTCTAATTAGCTTCCACTAAAATATTTAGTGTACTTTAGCAGATGCGGAAGTAAAGAAAATATTAGCGGTTTAGAATTAGCGGAACTAACTTTTGAATTAGGGCTGCCCACCACTGCTAGCAGTTATGCACTTCTGGGGACACGTTGCCATGATGTTCTGGCAACGCCCTTTGGCAGCTGCTAGTCATGAAAAATTTATGGGTTTTTAAAAGTGTCTAAACTTTACATGACAGTTTTGAAGCCATTAGGATGAAAGATTTTAGTGAGATTTTCTCAGACACAATCAGGTTTGTCTGCTACTAGGTGGCAAAGTTATTGAATTTACAACATTAGAATATACAGTGATGTTAACCTCAACAGCATTTTAAAGTAGAGATGAGCGTATTCAGACAAATCCAATGCGGTGTGGGCGTTGGTGTGAATTGTATTGAAAATGCTATTGATATTGTGCAGCATCACCAAGAAGCTTTRGTCCAAATTTGAAGTAGATACGCTCAGATTTGAGGACGTGATAGCGTTTGGTGTGACATTTGAGAAAAATCACCAAAGTTTCTCATTTTTTTCAAAATGGCTGACTTCCTGTAGGTTTTAGAATATGGTGCCAAGAAACCTTTTGTCAGTACTGGACTGRTGTACCTACTGCATGTACCRAATTTCAYATGTGTATRTTTAAGTCATAAGAGGGGCTGATGCTTAGAGGGCGCTAAAAAGCCAATTTGTAACACCCACATCTGGATGTTTGCACCTCCCCATATTTACATATATTATGCATACATTACATATTTTATATTTATATGTAATTGCCAAGTTTCATCATGATCAGTCCATTAGAACATGGTGGAAAAAATCCTTCAGTTGGCAGAAAAATAACTCGAAGCACTGGGAGAGTGCAAACCTCCACCAAGACCAGTTTCCTCCATCCTGTAAGAGTTAATG